CACTCTATTTCTACTTTCTCCCTTAAGAGCAAGCTTCAGCCATGTAGATGAAGACACTATCCTAAGTGATTACACAACAATGAGAGGAAGGAATCCAATTCCCTGGATGACTTGATGTATCACAACAATATCTCTAAAATAGGAGTCATTTCCATAAAAGCCAGATAGCATTTTATACTTTGTGGGCCATATGGTGTCTGTCACAACTACTCAACTCTGCCATTGTAGTGTGAAAACAGTCACAGATATGTAACAAATGCATGTGGTTGTGTTCCAGTAAAACTTTAATTTACAAAAAGAGGCAGCAGTCCAGACTTGATCTACAGCCATAATTTGCCAATCCCTACAATACAATCTAGACAACAGATTTTAGAGAGAAATAAATATCTGCCATTTTTTTGAGCCCTGGTCTTTTTGGGTCTCTTGGTTATAGCAACTTATCCTAAGCTCTAACTTATTATACCAGAAGCAGTATCTATCTCTTTTCTTATAGTTTTATTTTTATATTTTACTACATAATAGTGCAATTGACCCTTGAACAACATGAGTTTGAACTGTGCAGATCCACTTACATGCAGATTTTTTTCAGCACAGCTGGCCCTCTGCATCCATGGGTTTTGCATCAGCGATGCGAAGGGCCAACTGTATGCACTGTTCTATGCCATTTTATAAAAGAAAGTTGAGCATCCGCAGATTCTGGTATCTGTGGAAGGAGATAGGAGGTTGGGGGGCGGGACTAGAACCAATCCCTGCAGATACCAAGAGACAAATACAGTTGTTTTGGGGGAATCAAAAATTATATGTAGATTTTTGACTGGGCAGGGGTAGGTAACCCCAGCGTTGTTCAAGGGTCAATTATATATTATATATTATATATTTATTTATCTTCTGTCTTCTTTCTAAAATGTAAATTCAAGGAGCCAAGGACTTTGGTTCACAAGTATCTTCAGTGATAAAACAGTACTAGTACATAGTATTCGTTGACTAAATGAACAAACATTGGATAGGAGTACAGAAACAGGAATAGGTAAAGTCATGAGGAGAGTTGGAAGTCTTAAGTTCCGTAATGAAGAGCTTGAATTTTGTTCAATAGGCAAAGCCATGAGGATTCCTGAGGAAGAAAGCAGTGTGGTCAAAACTGTAGTTTTGAAAAAATCATCTTGAATAATAATATTAGAATAATATCCTAATTGTTTACACCTAGACATAATTTGCGTTTAGTATAGTGGGCATATTGGAAATAAGAAGGGAAAGTCTAAAGATAAGTCACTCTTAGAGACGGATGACTTGATAGTATTGATGGAGTGTGGAAGAATGAAAATGACGCCTTCGCCAGAATGTCTTATAAATAAGAAATCTCTTGAGAAGAAAAGGAAAATCGGGCAAAAAAAATTCTTGGGGAAAAAATTAGTTCTGTCTTAGACATGTTGGGATCAATGTGCTAGCAAGACCCAGATCTTATCTTCATATAAAAGTCTAGGGATTCAAAAATACAGGTCTGGAAATCATTCAGAAAGGTTATCAATGAGAAGCTCTCCAAATAGTATAGAATGAAGATTGTTAAGACAACACTGAAAAATACTTAAGTTTTAGGGGTAGGAAGAAGAAATATTAGAAAAGACAATAGCAGTCAAAGGTAGGAGGAAGTACAATATTTAAGAAAACAGTAGAGGAATTTGAAGAAATGGTGATCACAGAAGTCAGAGATGAGGAATTAGGGAAAAAAGGCCTTTGTGAAGATCTAGATCCCTGGATATTATCTATGAACTAGCTAACTTGGGAGAGTGGTGGTAGGAACAGAAGCCTCACTATAAGAAGTTAAGAAATCTACAGAAAAGAGGAAGTGGAGAAGATAAAGTTAGGCTTAAGAAGATTAAGCCTAACTTCATTGCCCAAGTGACACAATTTATAGTTTATAGCTATTTCAATCAAAAAATCTGACTGCTGAGCATTTATTTGCTTTTAACCATTAAACTAACTGCCTGAGACAATGGATAGGACAGGCTTAAGAAAGAAGGAGGTTAAGGGAAGAAAAGTTGAATGGCTTTTGTTGTCTCAATTAGTTTACAAGTCAGTAACATGCAGGCAATGACACTTATCTCATACAGCATTATGATAACTGATAACTAAATTGAGTTTGTACATCTAACACACCCAGTACAGTACAGGGCTCAATAACTGGTAACTATGTTTAGATGGGAACAGTGAATCTCCTTATCTGTTTCTATATTGAAGAAATTCAACCTGTCTTTCCATTCGCCTATCACTCATATCTCCCCGTAGGAAGAAGGGTAGGTTTCCTGACTGGTAAGCTAAGTCCTTGCTTTCTTCAGATCCACCTGCCTGCAGTAAAGTGTACTTTCATCTGCTATCTAGTAATTACAAGGAACCGGCCTTATATTGTCCTGGTAGGGTAGATAAATCCATGTAGTTCTGAGGAATGTTAAGCAAGACATTTTGACCACAGATTGAAGTCACATTATCCAACTGGTTTGATCAACATTAAACCTGGCACTTTGATCTCTAGCTCTCTGATTTTTACATCTATCTCTTAACTGGTTATGAACTTTGCTGGTAAACAGAAATACTGACACTCCTTAACTACTGCACACAGTATTATTTTTCTATTTTGTATATCTATCATTTATATGCAAATATACTTAAGAATGTAGTGTACATTTAATAAACATGTACATTTCTTACCCTGATTATAATTTGTGCCACATCAAAGTCTGAAACATCATCTAAAATTGGTTCAGTATTTTCTGGTCCATAAACAAGGCAGTTAAACAATGTTTTAGAAAAGAAACCAGGTGAGGGACCACCATGAACCAAAGAAATGGCAAGCATTTTGCCAGCTTCATAGTAAAGATTCTCTTTCAGAGCTGTAAATACAGATAGGAATACATTAAATACACTTCCTTTATTATTATAAAATAACCATCATGTATAATGAATACATATATAATAAGTTAAAAATCCAAAAAAATCTAAGCATTAGATAAAATGTAAAATAACTTAATTCATAGAAGCTATAATTATGTATATAATAAATTCATCTAAAATATACAAAAACTATTTTCCTGAATATAAATAACCTATTGTAGAAAATATATAAATACGAAACGTAAATACTCTTTAAAAAATATAAATACCCCCCAAAAAAGTCACCTATAATCTTACCACAATAACCAGTGTACACACTTTGGCGTATCTGTACATATATATATATATAAATATGTATATAAATAGTTTGACGTCTGCTTTTTTCCACTTACTATAATATAAACTTTATATTATGCAAAATTATTATTCAACTGTATGAGATACAGTATTATAATCAATATCTACTTACATACTTGTGTTTATGTTTGATTATTTGATTAGTATAGATTAGGATATAGTATTTATTAGTGGTTCAAAGGTTGTTGATAGTGCTAAATTATGTTCCAAAATGGCACAAATTTACCATCTTACAGATCACAGCTTTCAGCATTTTTTAAATTGCCATTTAAAATGTTTTAGCTAGTCTGATTAAGTCAAAAGGATACCATGTAAAATTTCCTTTATTTTTTCTAAAAATTGTTCAAAGCGACTTATTAACAATACTTGAACTAATAATAAAATCTCAACAGTAACTTTATAAACTATGTATTAGTAATCACATATTACAGATGAAGAAACTGAGATCCAAAGAGGCTACATAATTAATCTAAGGATATGAAGCTTCTTTAAGTGATGTGTATAAACTGAATTCAGATTTTGTAACTTAAATTCATGTACTTTCCACTGTACTAAAACTGCCTTAAGTTAACATTACTTATTATTTGAGTGTGTTTTTGTTTTTTTTTTTTTAAAGGAAGTTTAGAATTATACTGTGTGTACTGTATAGAGTATAAATGATCCTTGGTAGTTTCTCAATTATTTCAGTGATGCTTCGGGCAACGGTGAGGAAGTTCTAGGGAACATATAGGAGGAAATTCAAATGGAATGAAATAAGTCTTCTCACTCTTTCGAATTTCCTATTACAGCAAAAGTGGTATAAAAGCTCCTAAAAAAGAATGCAAGAATTAACCAATGTTTTGAGATGCCTGTTTTAATCACATTAGCTCCTCACCAGAAGTAAAGACAGAAAAGTATCATAAACAAAATTATAAGAAAAATTCTTATTTTCTTATAAGCAAAGGTACATTAAAAAATCTGTTACGTGTGGACCAGAAAATGTTATAAAAATCCTAGGATGTGAAGAAACATGCCAACTGCAAATTCCAAATATCTGAACAAGAAGGGCTCAAACAATCATCTGTCCCATTTGAATGAAATTAGAATGCAAAATATATTTTAAGGTTAAAGTTAATTATGAAACCACTTCAAGGAGGATATTACTATAAAAAATCAAAGATATTCTTAAAGAAAATTTTTCACTACAAAAATTTACTTTTAAAAATATCATTCCCACATCCTCTTTTCTATGTTTCTATCAGTATTTTATTAACAAAGTAAATTATACATTTCACCACAGGTATTGAATATTAATTTTAACCAGCTATCTCTTTCTTTATATATGGTATAAAATATGTACAATAATGAATAATTACCTTGAGAATTTAGGGACAAGTTCTTTGACAAGGACCCTTCAAACAATGCTGAGTTCTCAAGATGCTGCATTAAAAGACTTAGGAATTCATGCTTTGATCCAGGATGCTCTCTTCCAAAATTATCATTTTCATTAACATATGCTACTTCAATTGTGTACGAAGGATTAAACTTTTGATTTCTGAATCCATCTAAGGCACTATTCCAGATATCAGCTTTGTTGATATATAATCTTTTAGATTTTTTTATAATTTGAAATCCTAACTCTATAATTATTGTTGAAATGTCTCTTCTAAATTTGCTGCCTTGCCTATAAAACATGAATTTAAACATAGTGGTAAGTACTCTAAAGTACTTTATGTGAACAGCAGTTATACAGCCAATAAAAAAAGAATAGAAAAAAAGATTAAAAGGAAGTTCTTCCCCATCTCCCACCCAAAAGCAGACAGTGGCTGCCCTGGAACCAAAAATAGTCATTTGATAACTATAATTCTAAATTCTTGATTCCTTCTGCTCAACCTTCTATCAAATTAAAATCGAATGTCATAAAGATTTATGATGATGTTGATTGATGATTATCTCAAACTTGATCAATTCAGTGGATTTAGGTGTAAGAGTCAGAAGCTCAAACACCTTTCTGGACAATGGCTACAACATATACTTGCATAACTGTATCTTATTTCATGCTCGCTAGGTCCTTTAAAAATAGAGCAAAGGTAACCTCTGCTTACTATATGAGATAACTATAGTTTTAAGAGATTACACAATGTATTTTAATTATAAGGTTAATTAACAGTAGAGTTAATATTATAAATAGAATTCACAACCCTTTAAGTAGTACTTTTTAGTCTATACCAGTAATTTTAAAAGTGTGGTTCCAGACCAGCGGCAGCAGCAGCATCTGGAAACTTGTTATAAACGCAAATTTTTGAGCCCCACAGTGGATAAACAGAACCAGAACCTCTGAGCATGTGGCCCAGCAATCTGTGTCTTCAGCAATCTGTGTCTTAATAAGACATCTGGGCGACTGTACATATTAACTCAATGCTCCCTGCCTCAGTTTCTCCATCTGTAATCGAAATTAATGTACTTAAAATGATCCTGTTTGGGGCAATGTCATGTGTCGTCTTTCTATATCATGTATAAATTTTTCCCATCCTAAGACATTACAATGCCCCAGTGCAGGTCAGGCTTTGCTTTTTCTTTCTTCACACAATCCCCTATTAATTAACCCAGGTTGAAGGAAAATCACAATTTTTTGGAAGATAATCCTTCCAAAATATACCTTCTCATAGCAAGGTTGATTCTTTGCTCCTGCCTGAAATGGGAGTGTCGAAGCTATTCTTCTAGAGCCTGATGGCACATTAGAGCAGGAGCAAGGAATCAAATTTCCCTGGTGTAACATCTTTAGAGACCTAAATATTAAAATTATTTAAAACTAATGTAAACATCTTTTTTCATATTAAAAATATTATAAAAATATAACAAATTTCAGTTAATACAAGCGATATCTTAAAACAGTAATTCTTCACTTTTTGAACAGTATTCCACTTCTAACTGCAAATCTAGTTATTGAATATTTTCACAAAAATTCTCTTGCTCTTCTAAGTTTTAACTTGATATTATTTTTAACAAGAAAGTACTTCCTCATGCTTAGCTACTAATTTTACTGTTGTCTGTTTTTCCCTATTGGCTACAAGGCTCTATAGACTTTTTGGTAAAACCACATACACTTAAAAATTCTGAACAACTACATGACACAGTATAAAGATGTAATTCTAGTCTTATTTAAATGGTTATGAATGATTTTGAAAGTTATTTATTTTGCTATCTTCTGAAAATAGGCATTAATATGATAATACTTTTAAGTATGCATTAACTTTCTACAGAGCTATTATTTAGACCTCTGACATTGACAAACATACAAATGATTACGAAAAGAAAAAATAAGACTTCTATATTAAATGATTCCTTCCTTTTAACAAAGTAACATGGTGTGCTTGTTACTTTAATTTCCGTCTTACTCCATAAGCAAATAACATTTTATGTACATTTTCCAGGTCCATGTTTTTTAAAATATCTTAAAAATGATCTATAATAAAAATATATTTTACATTATGACTCAGTATACAATAAGTAAAATATATTTCATATACATTCTTTCTATGTGCAACACAAACTGATATTCTATTCTATCTTATTTCATTTTCTTTTTAAAATGCTGATTGCATGATTTCAAGATCAAATGCTGGGTCCTGCTGTTTGAAAAACACTCTTGAAGACTACTGTAAAGATCAGCTAATATTCTAATGTATGTAGCCACCTCCTGTTTAATTTTCTCAAAATAGAGTTTTATATTTTTCCCCAATTCAAAATACACACCTCAGCAGATCTCTACCCTGGGCTCCAGGTGACTGTCTGGGTAATTTAGGTGAAGACTCTTCCAACAAACAATCATTTATTCCTACATTATTAGTGCTGGGTAACGTATGTTTTTTGGCTTTTTGGAAACTCCCTGCAGATTTAAAGCCCAATATTAGTATAATAGAAATATAGGTAGAAATGTTTTATAATGTATATTTGAAAAAAGAACATCTTTATTCAAAATTACAAAGTATTACCTGAATTGTAGAGAATACCTCTACATTCCAAACACTCCCAATTTTGTTCCCATGATCGTAGTGAGGAACAGGCTAAATGTGTTCCACTAGAACCACAACACTGACAGCGCTTTATTTCCCATTTGCTGAGGACATAAAGAGAAGCAAATGTTAACATTTTATATTAGTCAAATTCCAATCACTAACACTACGATGGGCCTCACTGTCTGCCTCACACACACAACCAACCCTTTACCAAAGGAGGAAAAATAGATTATCTGCTTTGATACTGCATTACTTTTTCTTAAAGCATTTTTCCTATTTCATTATTTATGTTTATAACCACCTCCTCTAAATATTCTTACTTAAAATATCTAAATTAAATATCAACATGTACATGCACATATACAAAGAATATATACATCAGAATATGATTGAAGAAGGGAATGTTTATGATATAGAAGAAGCATTCAGTAAATTATCTAACTTTTATCTTTCCTATCCAAGGTGAGGAATTATTTTCTACAATAAGCTTGCTTAAACATATCAGGTATTATGCAGCTCAAAGAATCTGGACTCAATACTTGGCCCATATTTATGTTGTCTCTCATTTGTTCTCCACCCACTCCCCACCTCACTATATTGTGTGATGTGTGCCAGTTCGCATTCATATTTTCTGCATGGGTACAGGTGGGAGTTTTTGTGTAGGGCCTCCTTTTTGGTTATAGTACACCCTTTCTGTATAAAAATGGATACGCTCCCTGAGTATGTAGACAAGAGGTAACTGGATACCCCTGTCTTTTGGTAGGCATGGGTGAATCTCCCTCTCTGTGATATAGGTGTGTATACTGTGTGTTCCTCCTCCACACTTCCCAATATAGTTCTGCCAACTGATGATGAAGAGAAGGAGTGATGACAGCTAACATGAGTACTTGTTATATACCAGGCTCAGTTCTCACTCTTTACATGAAAAGTTTAATCCTCCTAATTTTAGAAGGTAAGGAAAAACGCTGTTACCTCCATTTTAAAGAAGAGGAAACCAAGATATAGAGAGGTAAATAACTTGCCCAATCAAGTTCACCCTGCTATTAAAACTCAGAGTGAGGCTTCAGACTCATACACCTAACCATTACACCATGCTGCCTTTCAGCAAAACTGTGTTCCTATCACTAGAATGAGAGAAGTGAGATTACAAAGAAAGCATTTAGATAGAAGGCATCTGGGTCCCAGGAGAAAAAGCAAAAGATAGCAATCTCAAGTAGCTGCCAGAAAAAAAGGGAGTTTGGTAGCTACTGCCTGGATAACCAGTGATATATAAAATATATATATATATATTAATTAAAATAGCTTAAAATGAATTTAGAATATATCGATAATAAGGAATATATTGCTTCTTAGAACCTTAAAGTGCTTTACTGTTTACATTTTCTCATCTGTGCCTCAGCAGAAACCTTGAAAGGGTTATTATTATTGTTTACAAATGAATATTCAGAGTCACCAGATCAAGTAATCTAAAGGCACATTACTTGACATCTTCAATGAGATCTCTGCCCTTAAAGAATTTTTAGTCTAATGACAAATTTAAATAATGTCAATTATATTGTAATAAGCAAAGCTACAGAAAAACCCAGCACAGAATGGAGAATCAGGAGTGGTAAGAGTTACTTAGGGGAAACTTTCCAAAGCTGGCAAGACCTCAGAGCTGAGTCTTCCCAAGTAAGTAGCAGCTCAGCCAGCCAAATCACCTTCCAGGAGAAATAAGGCTCTGAGTATTCTGCTCTACACTTTAAATTTCACCTTGCCATGTTCAAGTAAGATTGTACAACATGGATAAAAATTTAATAAAATTTCCTACATAAATTTGGACAAAACTGGCTTTGTTGCTTTTCATTCTACATCTTAAAAATAAGCTACTCTTGATTTCTAGTATCTAACACAGTATAGTATACACAGAAAATACAAAATGATTAAGATTAGAGCCAATATCTACTGATGTTACAAAGATGTAATCAATAAATTTCAAATGCCAAATGCTTTTTATAGTGATCCAAAAGAAATGCTGTTAGATTAATCTTGTTAAAACTAATCTCTAGAACAGCACCATCCAAAAGAAATACAATGCAAATCACATATGTAATTTAAACTTTTCTAGTAACCATATTTAAAGGGTAAAAGAAACAGGTGAAATAAATTTGAATATTTCCAAAATATTACCATTTTATTCAACATGTAATCAATATAAAAACTATTAAGTTATTTTAAGTTTTTTTTTTTTCTTGCTGTTATGGGCTGAATTATGTCTCCCCAAAATTCCTATGTTGAAGTCCTAACACCCAGTACCTCATAATGTGACTGTATTTGGAGACAGGGCCTCTAAAGAGATAATTAAGACAAAAGAGGGCTTATGGGTGGACCCTAATCCAATATGACCAGTGTCTTTATAAAAGGAGATGAGGGCACAGACAGAGGGATAATCACGTGAGGACATAGCTAGAAGGGAGCCATGTGCAAACCAAGGATAGGCGTCAGAAGAAATCAAACCTGCTAATACCTTCCTTCATCTTGCACATTTAGCCTCTGGGATTAGGAGATGACAAATTTCTATTTTTTAAGCCATCCAGTTTGTGGTATTTTGTTATTGCAGCCCTAGCGAACTAAGACACATACCAAGTCTTCAGTATGTACTTTACACTTGCAACACCTCTCAATTGGAAATAGCCACATTTCAAGTGTTCAATAGTCACGTGTGCCCAGTGTCTACCATTTAGGACAATGTAGCTCTAGAAAATAGAGCCTCATGAAAATACACCACAGAAATAAGTTGCAATTATGCTGAGTACAATACTTTCTCTGTAAACATATGTAAATACACATTTATTAAGTATACCTCATCTCGAGTTAAAACTTCAAGCATCCTAATAGCAAACTACATCACACTAACTAGAAACCTGCTTACCAAGCAGGTTTAAATAAGAACACAATTAAGCACGAGTGAACTTCTTGATATACCTATTAGGTGCATTATAGTCTCGCCCTTCCTTGCAACGACATCTCCGCACATCACAACGCTCATAGTGCTGCAGAAGCTCTTGATAAGCATTTTCCTCTAATTCCCAAGATGCATCTCTGTAAATGAAGATATAAAATATACTTTGACCTAAAATGTTACATAAAAGGATTGGTAATGAACCTAAAAATAACTTTTCATACTAGAAATGAGGATAAAACTTGGTTTTTTAATGTTAATTCATTCAAAATGTAAATACACTAGTGCCATTTTATCCTATACTTAGTCTTACAGTGAATTTTCACATGCTAAATCAAAAATCCAGCAGAAATTTTATAAAACCTACATTTTTTATTAACATTTCACTTCCAACTTTTTAATTTCAAGTTGAGTAGTATTATTCATGGATTCCTCATCTTTAAGTACTATGAATATCATTCTCATACATTTTAAATCACATCTTGATTCTTTTAGATAATTTATACACACATTTTGAAGCCTATTATATCCGTATGTAAATCAATTAGTATTGTACATGACTGAGGTGTTCCTACATGTAAAATACCTTTTTTTCCCCAAAGGCTACATGTTACTCACTTTTCAGGAATATGAATTCCCATTCTCAACATCTCTTTCTGAAATATGTCACTATTATTGCATATTGTACATCTAAAGAAAAACACTCCTGCATTTATCGCTTGAACCTATAGTGGAAAATAGGAAATATATTATTAACAATTTAACAGGTTATTAGGTTATGAACTTTATAGCTAACAGATCATGTGCTATTTTTACTTAATATATTATGAAAACTTATTTTCTATGCTTTTGGTTCTCAAACTTTGATAAACTAAATTATCCCAATGCTAAAATGTGGAGATCTTTTTTCCCAATGGTTAAAAAAAATTAAGCCAATGAACTGATGGTTATTTGCTTTACATCTATATATTTAGCCATATATTCCTCTCAACCTTTGGTATCTAATATTATTTCTGTTCCCAAATATTGTGTTGTCCATCACTCTCTGTGAATAAAATAGTAAGAATCTTGAGTTATTTCATGTAGGAAGGATGTTTGAATAACTGTTACATAAAAAGCATCCTTGGTTCTGTTTTTAATTCAGTCTGTTAGTTTTCTTTCTAAGAGGAGAGAAGTATAAAACGTATCTCACTCTTTAGCAAATAAAATACAGAAGCAACAGGTAGAGGGTATGCAGGAGACAGAAAACTATAAGCCTACTAGAAAGAATAGCCAATCCCCAGAAAAAAATCTAGTAGCACACATTCATTTAACAAATATTTAACCCCGATTACATAGGTGCCAAACACTGCTATGTACCAAAAACAGAAATATAAAATGACTTGGATTTTACTTCAAGGAATTCTTGTGAGTAGGTTCACAAGTATATAATTATAATACAGTGTTGTTGTTGCTGTTGTTGTTGTTGTTGTTGTTTAAATATATGCACAGAAGAGAGGTAGAAGTACCTAAGTCTATATAAGAGCCTGACAAAAATGCCACAGGGATGGTTAGGTCAAAGCTAAGTTTGGAAGAAGATATAGGGGCCTGCCAAGAAAAGAGGACATTACAAAAATTAAAAATAGCATATATCAAGTCACACTGGTAAGAGAAAGCACATTATTAGGGAACAAATTAATAATATACTTAGGGATTACATGCTGGCCATACTTAACTAAGTAATGAGGCTAAAGAGGTAAACCAAAGCCAGTAGTATGAAGAAATAATAGAAAATAAGGCATGCAAGAGAAAGACCAGTTAGTAAGCTCCTGTAAAAGTCTAGTTGTTTTTTTTTTTTTTTTGAAAGTACATTAAGTTAAATCACAGAGAAAGCAGAGAATACCAACAAAAAAGGACATACAAAAATATCTATTGGGCTTGATTGTCTTGGGGAATGATTTGTGGATGGTGAACAAAGAGGAATCCAGGTTCAAACAACTAGCAAGTGGCGTGCGTGTGCGTGTGCACGCATGCATATACATACATACACAGAGCATTCGGTAAGAAAGCAACGAGTTACTGAAATCTCTGAAATTAAAGGGTCTTTGAGCAACTGTACACAGATGTCACTATCTTAGTAAAATATAGGCTATAATACAAGGAAGTTAAGAATCTAGTCTGAAGGGAAAAAATACCATTGGATATATAGAAGTTACCAACAAAACCAGAGCAATGACTGAGAAATCCAAACTGAACAGGAATAGTGACAATTCCCTACATATCCAGAGTATATAGCATTTGTAGTGGTCAAAAATAATGAAATTTACTTAATCATATACAATTCTCTTTCTATTGCATAGGTTTGTTCTCACTTTGACTCTTTTATATTAATAAAGTTCAGAAATTTAGAAAAATTATTCAAGTATTGTTGTAGCTATATAAACAGGGTAGACTCCACTTATTATTTCAGTTAAGACTCTAGTACCAGAGTGGGAAAGTCACTGGAACTCCTCTAGAGAACATGGCTCAAGAATTGGTTCTAATTAAGTAACAACTGCTTATTAATATTTATATCACTGACAGGTATCCATGTGGCTGTATTTTTAAATTATATTTATATAAAGTAGACCTACGTTTTTGTTAGAAATACTATTTCCACTTTTTAATGGCATAATTGGAAACTTGGTTATTTTCAGAGTGTTCACAAAAAAACCCTATGAATACTAGGTCAAGTTTGAGAACCTCTCTCCGATTCACTACTAACACATAAATGAGGCGAATCTTATTCGTCTTGAAAAATAACATACTGTTATAAAATTAACAAGATGATACATTTGACAGCAATTACACTCATTCAAATATAAACCCTTAATTAAAATAAATTACTTTTCAAAGATTCTCATATAATGTGAACTTCTTCCTCAATAGGTAAAGATAACACTTCATGTTTATGAACTGCACTCTCTGGATCCTTTTACAAACACTTCTTTGTAAGAATCAACAGAATTTCTAATATTTACCCAACAAAAACAAGCTCCATTCTGCCACTTTAAACTGAATAATCCTAAACATAAATGTTCAAGGCTCATACAAAAAAAAGAGAAAATAATCAATCCAGCTTTACTACTTTCACTACTGTTAGTACTTCTACGGCTACTGAAATACAAGAGGATTTAAAACATCTCTTAACTTTAAAAAATACTTTTATAGATAATTTGTAATCAGGAATAACATCTGATTTTACTAAACGATAATAAAAGCCAAGCTTTCAAAAAGTATTAAACTTAAGTAAATCCTTTGTTATTTGGCTTTTTATTAACTAAAACTATCAATTAGCACTATCACATATGTATACTACATATTTGATATTACTAATAATATTTAAGTTTCAAGTATCTTCTGACTCAAAAAGTATTAAATTAATATCATGTTTTATGATATTTCATTTACTTGAGAACTTGTCGTTAGGTCTGACATACAAACTAACTCTCAAAGAACTAATACTTTTAATTCATTAGACAGTAATCAGTTCCCTGTCACGAAGTTATGATAAAGTATTTACCATAGTTTAAAAAAAAGGCCTCAACATTTAAATATTGTAGCTTACAGTTAAATGGTCATTTCACATATCTTGGTTTTCTAAGCTTAAATATGTAAATAAACTTGGGAATTAAAATCTGCGTTTTATTCATTGTGAAATACAAACAAGGAATTTGTTTATATTTCACAATGTTTTTACAAACTTGTAAAAACAAAGTTTTTAAAGTGTACATACATTAAAAAGTAGTATCTAAAGTATTTATTAAAATATTAATCGTACACTTCGATAGGGTGAATTTTACATGTAAAATATGCTTCATAAAGCTGTTTTAAAAAGTTATAATTAATAAGAGCTAAAACACACATGTTAATTCTTTCCAATTTTAAATTCAAAACAGCAATCAACCAATTTTATACCAGAAAGGCTTATATAACATCTTACCTGCAAACAGTCTCTATGAAACCAAGCATTCTTACAACAAGGACTTCGTAATATGCTATAAGTTGGAATAGGCTCAATAAATTCCAAACAAATGGTGCATGGTAAGGAGTCTCTATAATTATTAGGTGTAACTATTTGAACAGGTCGATGGTTCCAACAAAATGACCTAAAAATGTAAATTATTTAAAACCAACATTTAATAAATTACAAATCACCACTAGGCTAGCATTATAATTCACATTTATAATAGAAAATTTGTTTATATCTTTCTCATAACCGACCTACAACAAACTGGAACTTTGGCACTATAAATCAGTTTCATAATCTATGACCAAGGCAAACTGACCTTTCAAAATGTGAGCCTTTTGGTGGTAAGACTTACCTCACAGAATTTCAGTAACTAATATTATGCTGAAAATCCTATGTAATATTGTTAGCAACAGAATATATTTCTGTTGTATGCAACAATGTACAAAATTAAAGAAAGGAACTTTAAGTTTTAAATATTTAATCATATAATAAATACCAAAATTCATAAAATGTTGATGTTTAAAGGTGGACTCAGTAAGTAATATTTTCAGGGGCATCCCATGGCATAATATTTATTTTTTGCACTCCACCTGATTTATATGCCTTCAATTTATTCAATGAGAAATACAAACGGCCCCGTGAAAGAAATTTATACAATTAAATCTAAAGAGTGATATAAAAATCTAGAATTATGTAAGGCAAAATTTTTCACTGAATATGAATAAATTAACACTTCTTTATTATATTCCAGAGCTGAAAGCTGAAGTTGAATATGTTCATTTTCGTCACAGCAATTCTCAAGACTTTGTATATAAAAATGACTCCATAAAGAAAGATGGGAATATCCGTATCCATTATCTACTTTTCTTTAACAGTCATCTTTCACATTCGACAGTTAATTAACTCACGCAAAATTGCCAGTGAATTGGAAAATACATTCTCTCTGAAGTCCACAAGGAAAATGATAACTTCGTTTACATCGAGGTGCAACACATCCAATTGAAGCACCAGTTTTCTTGCAAACACAGCATTTCTAGAAGAAAATATGCGAATAGGGGCTATAACATACAAAATTTGAGTACTATAACTTGACTTAGGTATAAATGAATATTCTTTGAGGGGAGTCTGAAAATTATTTTCATCATATTATAGCTGTGAGGATGGCATATTAAAGAAATTCCCTGAAAAAACTGTTCTATCCAGAAACAATCTAAAAGACACTAAAGATTCACTCCTATAACAATTTCTGACATAGGAAACATCTGTAACCTAACATATGAATAACAAAGAGAAGTTTCATTTCATTCCTACTTGCTAAAATATTCTAAACTGAAGAGTTTATAAATATAATGGCTATACATGAAAGTCTCATTCAAATTTTAATTGAAAACACATTAAGAAATATTGACCAAGGAGAATAGCGAAACAATACTAAAAACCAACCTGTAAAAAAATTGGCTAGGATCGTTCTATCCTAACCCAATGAGAAAGCGTTAGATACCTATAGTAGGTTAAAAAGATATATTCAAGTCCTAATTCCTGGTATCTATATGAATGTGACCTTTTTTGGAAACAGGGTCTTTGTAGATGTAAATAAATAAAAGATCTTGAGATTATCCTGGATTTAGAGTGGTCCCTAAATCAAATGACTGGCATCCTTGTAAGTGAAAGGAGAGGGAGATTTAAGACACAGACACACAGAGAGGAAGGCCACGTGAAGATGGAAGAGAGACTGAAGTTATGCTGTCACAAATGAAGGACTGCAAAGGTTGCCAGCAGCCACCAGAAGGTAGAAGAGAAGAAGCATGGAATGGATCTTCCCTAAGAGCTTCCAGAAGGAGTCATTCTTCTAATAGCTTGATTTGGAACTTCTGGTGTCTAGAATTGTGAGAGAATAAATTTGTTTTAAGCAACCCAACCTGTGGTAATTTACTATGACAGCCCTGGGAAACAAATACAATACCACGGCCACTAACTAAAGTACAACAGTGGTATAGAAACAGAAAGGGTATTGATGGGTCGATCATTATTAAAATACAGAGCGGTACCTAACAATATCCTGGAACCCTTGAGATGGTCATTATAATGGTCATTGATGAAGAGATTAGAGAGTTTTACTGCTGACTCCTCAGGTACCACCAGGTCATAGGAGAATAACTTGCCAACTTGAGGTTTCCCAGTAAATTGACGTACAAAATTCTAGTCTAAGGTCACAAATGAAGACACCTCTTCAAGATTAAGACAGTCTCAAAGATTCACAATATAGTATACTCAAGAGAGAATTCAGATTTTTTAAAAAATAGGTATTTCTAAACCATAAAGAGACCATTAGAGGCCATCTTTCACCACAAGTTCACTACCATCAGGAGGCTGAGGAATTTTGATACTAATACTCTCACGTGGCCCTTAAGATAAATGCCACTGGTAACCTCTCTCCCAAGGTTTTCCCTTGTGCTCTAGAGCAATGATCTCCAACCTTTTTGGCACCAGAGACCCATGCTCCTATAAGAATCTAATGCCTGATGATCTGAGGTGGAGCTGAGGCGGTGATGCTAGTGCTGGGGAGCGGCTGCAAATACAGATGAAGCTTCACTTGCTGGCCTGCCACTCACCTCCTGCTGTGAGGTCCAGTTCCTAACAGGCCAGGGGGACGAGGCCCAGGGGTTGGGGACTCCTGCTCTAGAATCTCTTCTCTACCATCAAGTCCTCTATATCCTCAACATCTTAAAAAATTGCCTCCATTTCTTTACCTCAACTAAAATGAAGGCCTCTACATGCTTCCCTTATAGAATTTCTTGAATGAAACTGCTTATTTCCCCATCCTCCTTAATTACCAGACCAAGGGGTGGGAGTGGGATATTGAAAGGGGCAGGAAGGGGGGACAAACAGAACATTATTTTAATTCTCTGTGCAGATTGTAGACCGCTACTCTATCTTCACACTTAACTTTTTTATTCTTTCATTTTCATTATTTCTCCTCAGATTACATGGAGACCTACAGTCCTTTCTTTACACGTAATCTATTAGCTATTACACAGAAGATTCACAAATTATAACTGAATGAATGAGGAGTTAAAGTTTAGAATACTGAAAAGAAGGCACTGAACACAAGCACAGCATATCACAGAAGGACCACAAGCGGTGTGGCGATCATAAATTATAGGTCTGCAGAGTTGTGTAATTTCTACCTAAACCCATCATTCCAACTCAAGCAACTGAGGTATAAGAATAAAAAATGAATGGTTGGGTTGACTCAAGATTGAAGTTTGAAGAATAGCAGACTGGCAATATGTTCATAGTTCGGATGGTAGGAGTGGGTGAAATGATGGGTAGGCTGGAATAAGATGAAATGAAATCCAGTATCGTCACATATATTATACGGGGGTGGGGTGGGGGAGGGGGATTTAAGTTCTTTCATTTGCAAAAATAGAAATATTCTTCTAAAATTCACCATATTTGACAAAAATAAGCACTGGAACATAAAATCAAAGTCTTTCTTACAAATTTTTAGGAGAGAAACGAATAGAGAAGACTTCTCAAGGATTGACTATTTATTTATGGTATTTATTGTAATGAGTAAAATAATTCACTTACCAGTTTAGAAGCTCTATTCACTTCTTTCCTGATGTCTTCTATTAGAAAACCATAAACTCCTTCTTCTTCTTTACCTCTTTGCCAAATTCCACTTGACATCAACTATGAATATATTCTCAATTAGAAAATAAACTCTAATAAACTAGTTTGGAATAAAATATATTAATATCTATAATATCCCTCCCCCAAATAGACATAAAACAAGTCAAATTTCAAGAACCTCTTAACTATAATAGATATTTTTCATGGTCAAAGGAAGAAGTTACTCATATTCTTTGATTTGGAAGACACTGTATTTAACAGTTCATACAACCAAACTGATTTCTAAAGTATTCCAGGAAATAACAGAAAAAGGAAAGAAGGAAAACAAAAACCACCTATGATTACGTTTTACGGGAAAAAAGTAAATACTGAAATGTGTAAATGTAATAATAGTAAATACTATGGAAGTAATTCAGATTATCAGTGATATTTCAGGCTAACTTTAAATCCAGCTGGATTCTGAATCATGAAGGCATATTTACAAGGAAACCTACTGAAATGTAGTTGATAGAAATGGTTGAATTTTTAAAAATCATTTAAAAATGATTTTTTAACTTCAGTTTAAATATGTTAAGGGAGCATGAATCAAGAAAAAGAATGAGACTGTGAATAAGAAATCCTGGCTTGTAAACCAGGTTCCATGTCCAACTTTCTGGAACCCTAGGCAAGTAATTTGATGTATCTGATCTTAAACACAAAAATAAAAACACTGGACTAGATTAGATTGTCTCTAAGTCTCTTTTCGCGTTAACATTCCATTGCCATTTGTTAACATTACCAAACTTTCCTGTTCACAACAAAATAGAATCTTGTAAGTGTTGAGCCTAGGGCCAGTATGTTTTCAAATTAGTTCACTAAGAAAATAAGACACATTATATAAGAAAAATTTTGATATGATCCACTTAAATATATTAAATAATTCAAAAATATGTCAAATTAGTGATTAAAGAGGCTTATTTTAACCAGTACACTATATCTTAAAGAAAACCAAAAGTGATACACTTTATTTGAGAACTAATTACAAAAACACAACCCACTAATAGCTCTCCTAATATGTAAAAAGTAAAATAAACTCTTAGAAAAATGCAAAAGTTTTCTTGTGTAATGCAAACTATAATAGACTCCACTTATAAGCAGATTTGGTATGCCATCTTCATGTTCTCTTAAGTCTTGGTACAAAGTAATTAGGTTCCTAGACCAGTCTACAAGTCTATTTAACCCACAGGGTACCTGAGACACAAAACTGTAATCTTAGAGAACCACCAAAGAATATGTTAGATGTTTTCTTAAGGAAGCATTTAATGAGTTTTAACATGGATACTGTGATGAGTATAAAAATATGTCCACAAATTTGTTGATACACCTTCAAGAGGTGGGACCTAATTCTCAACCCCTTGAGTGTGGGCTAGACTTAATGATTCTCTTCTAACAAACAGCATAAAGCAAAAGTAACAGTGAGATATGACTGTGAAGACTAGGTCATATGATTCCTACTTGGTGTACCTCTCTTTTTCACCTGCTATGGAAGAAGCCAAATGCCATGCTGTAAACAGCCCCTATGGAGGCACCCAGGAAGTAAGAACTTCAGACACAGATTCAGTGAGGTAAGAAATGGTGGAGAAAAGAGAGAACAAATGAGAGACGAATTCTCAGTATAAAATCACTTTTTCTTTCTTCTGAGTGACCCATAAGTTAACCTATTTCCTTTTCTATAAATATTTATTACTTTAGTCAGAACTTTTCTTTCCAGGTTCTCTGTGAAATAATATGTTTTTCTTTTACTCCCTGAACCTTCAAACAAGTCTTTTCTAAGCTTTATCACCAGCACAATGAAAACAAGAAAGGGGTAAAAAGAACAACTCTTCCTTAGAGACTAAGCCATTTTCTCCTTTTTTCACTTAGGTCCTAAAAGGTTAGACAGAAATAAACAGGTAATGTTGACAGGTCTTTATAAGTACCAAGTAATTTCAGAATTTTAGTATTAGATAAGTGAAAAATGTTATTTTTATATACAGGTGAAATGAGATTCAGAGGTTAAATGACTTATCCAATTCTCAGAAACCCGTCATTAGGATCGAATTATATTCTCTATAAGAACATCAAACTTCTAGAATTTAATTATAAATTATACTCACCAAACAATAGTAATGTACAGTGAGATTCCATTTCTCATTAGTTTTCTTTTCTCCATATTTATTAGGACAGTCATCATTTTTTCGACAGAAAACACAAGCTAACAGTAAAAAAAGTAAATAGATATAAAAATATTTTTTAATTTTTCAAAAAACCCCCATGAAATTGGCGAGTCTCTCAATTGATGTGTTTAATTCTCTCTGAGTGAGTAAATCACATTATATTGTTATCGGTAACTTAAAATTTCCAACACCTACTTTTAAAACATAATGTAACTATACTTTTTTCATTAATCTTTGGTGATGAATTCCAGTATATAGTTAAAATGGCAGCCTGCAGGGTAACATCACTGAAAATAATGGATTAGGAAACTCTAAAATGCCATTAAAGCAATGATTAAGCTGCCAAAAACGTTAAGAACCAATTTTTCAGAAACTCTAAAATCTAAATTAAAAACTTGCACCAATTGAGAAATGCTTAATAAAGAAATAAGTTGCTAAATTTTGATGAAATCTCTATGGCATTTTAACTTACCCACCTACCATCCCCCACTCTCCAGTTGGGCAATGGCCTTAGGTACCGTGGCCCATGTTGCTGGTGAGGATTGTCCAGGAGGAGGTGTCACATGGACCTTGTTCTCAAAGAAATGTGACTGTGTGTTTTATCTGTGTAGTGGCTCTCTGAGGTTTGGGCTCAGATGCTTGTCTTTTTTTTTTTTAATTTTTTCAATATAGTTTACATTCAATATTATATTATGTTGAAGGGATACGGCAGAGTGGTTAGACACTTATATAATTTATGAAGTGATTCTCCCTGCTAAGTCTAGTACCCCTACCTGGCACCATACATAGTCATTACAATATTATTGACTATATTCCCCTGTTGCTGTGCTTTACATCCCTGTTAGCTTACCCTAGCTTTTCCTGCCTCAGAATTTTCTCAGGACTGAAGCCTGACCGTTTGTCAAAAGTATTTAAGGCAAACAAACTAGCTACAGCTTTTTAAAGCAAATAACAACAGACAAGTCTTAAGGAAGGGCAAGCAGCTAACAGACGAAACAGACAGGGCAAGCAGCTAACAGATGGGGCAAGCAGCTAACAGACGAAAAAGCCTAGGAGAGAAGCTGAGAAAATGGGATACACAGAGAAATAAGGGCTTTGAACATCTCCTGACTATATCAGGGGGAATCTAGAAGAACACACACATGCTTAGGGTTAGATGTATGTTCAGGAAAGACCACAGAAACCCTAAGCTTTTACCTCTGGCTGATCTTTAGGCTCATGAAAATCCGTATAGAAAAAGAAAGATCCTAAATCAATAAATTTTAACCTTAAAGAACTAGAGTAGGGGGGAAGGGCAAACTAAACCCAGAGCTAGCAGAAGAAAGGAAATAATAAAGATTAGAGCAGAAATAAATGAAATAGAGAATAGAAAATAGAAAAAAAATAAAATAAAACAAAGCTGGTTCTTTGAAAAGATCAACAAAACTTTAGATTGTCCTAGGAAAAAAGGCAAACTTTTAGACTTGACCTAGAAAAAAAAGAGAGAAGACTCAAAACTTATGACAATGCTACAGAAATCAAAACAGTGTGGTACTGGCATAAGAACAGACATATAGATTAATGGAAAAGAAGAGTCCAGAAATAAACCCAAACATCTAAGGTCAATTAATTTTGAACAAGGATGCCACGACAATTCAATGAGGAAAGAATAGTCTCTTCAACAAATAGTTGCTGGAACAACTAGATAGCCACATGTGAGATAATAAAATTAAACCCCTACCTCACACCATATACAAAAATTACCTCAAAAGAGATCAAAGACCTAACTGTGAGCCAAAACTATAGAACTCTTAGAAGAAAATATAGGGGAAAATCTTCATAACTTCTGAATTTGGCAATTGTTTTTAGATAAAAGGAAAAGTAGTAAAAGAAAAAATAGATATTGGACTTCATCACAGTTTAAGACTTTTGTACATCAAAAGACACTACCAAGAGAGTGAAAAGACAATCTACGGAATGGGAGAATATATTTAGAAATCATATGCCTATTAAGGGTCTAGTGCCCAGAAAGTATAAGAATGTCTCACAACTCAACAGCAAAAATATAAAAAATAGACGTTTCTCCAAAAAATAGTCAATAAATAGTCAACAAGCACACTGAAAGATGCTCAATATCATTACTCATCAGGGAAATGCAAATCAAAACCACAATTAGGTACCACTCCATACCCACTAGGATGGCTATAGTCAAAATAAATCAACATTTATAGTAACAAATAACAGATAACAAATGTTTGCAAGGCTGTGGAGAAATAGGAACCCTTATACACTGTTAGTGGAAATGTAAAATGATACAGTTATTTTGGAACGTAGTCTGGCAGTTCCTCAAAAAGTTAAACAGTTAACATGTGACACAACAATTCTACTCCTGGATATATACACCAAAGAAATAAAAACAGATATTCAAACAAATACTTAGTATACTAATGTTCATAGCAGCACTGTTCACATTAGCCAAAAAAAAAAAAGGCATAACAAACTAAATGTCCATCAATACATGGATAAACAAAATGTTGTACATCCATACAATGAAATATTATTCAGCTATTGAAAAAATGAAGTACTGATACATGCAACAACATGGATGACTCTAGAAACATTATGCTAAGTGAAAGAAGCCAAGCACAAAAAGTCATACACATGATTCTGTTTATATAACAGATTACATTATCCAGAATAGGTAAATCCACAAAAATAGATAAAAAGCAGACTGGTGGTTTTAAGGGGCTGAGGACAGGGGAAATGGGAAGTGACTACCTAATGGGTACAGAATTTCCTTGGGGAGTGATGAAAATGTTTTGAAACTAGATAGTGGTGATGGTTGCACAACACTGTGAATGTACTACTTACCATCAAATTGTACACTTCAAAATAGTTAAAACGATAAATGTTATGTGCATTTTACCATAATAATAATAATAATAATAACAACAACAACAACAACAACTTAAAAAGGCAAATTGTAGAGTCAGGGAGATGCGAGTTAAGACTCAGTTCTACACTCTCACTGCGTAACCTTAGTCACATAAATACTTTATGGCTCTGTTTTGTCATCTTAAATATGAGGACAATAGAACTTACTTCAAACTATGCTAGAATGAGAATTAAATGAGATAATATATAGTAATATAATAAAAGGGGTGTGGCACATAGAATTGAATAAGTGTTAGTATTATAATTGTCCATCTTTTCTATCTAATGATATCTACTAGCACTGAAAAATTTTCAAATAACATATTAACAATGAAAAAAATCACTAGCTAAAGACAAAGTCAGCAGATCAATATAAGATGAGAGCTTGAATCTCTAAATATCGGCCCCATCTCCCTAACCAATCCATGCTGGTCTGTAACATGAGTAAGTGTTAAACCACTAAGACTTCAGGGTTTACCTATTATAGCAGCTAGTCTTATTTAACTTAACTATTAACTAATACATGTAATAAAGAACGGATATTAAAAAGGTACCTTATGTTTATTAACAGGCTTTTCACAAAATAGGTTCCAGGACTGGAAACAAAGAGCATGGGCTAATACTTAATATTGTGAAACATCCCTTCAACATTTGCCCTCCTCACTGTAGTTTAATGAAATAAGGCATAACAGAAAGCCCCTTGGCCCCATCTTTTAAAAGATTTAAGCTCCCCTGCCTTCCTCATACAAAGTAACTGACTACATTAATTCCAGCAAATTATCATTTGTATATTGGACATCTTAGACCAGCAGTTCCCACTTTAACTCCTCCATCCCCAGTGCCTATAACTTTCAGTTATAAGTGCATGTACAACTATCAAGAGAAAGAGGAATAGAAAGAATTCTGACTACAGGAGTCCTCATGATACATGTTTGGATGGAGCTGCATCTGCTATATACTTTGAGCCTGTGGCTTTCCATTTGTTCACCCTCCTCCTCTTTGCCCTGTATGAAGACCCTGAATGCAGAACAGACTAGGTTCCAGGAATATGTTTTTATAAGTAGATTACCTTTGTTTTTTAACATTAACGTTTAAAACATAGTAAAATTGTTCTGACTTCATTATACCTAAGATCACCTTCTACTATAACAAATGATACTGGTTGTATTACAATACTGAAATAAACATTCATATATATAAAAAATAGTCCATCTTAGCAAAAATATTAAGTAAATAACTGGATAGGTAGTATTTGCATTTGGCAAATACATGAAGGTAGTCCATGAATTACTAAGTTTCAGAACTATTAGTATAGTTGATAAAAGTCTGTAGGTAAAATCAGGAAAGTGGAGGGAGGTTTAAGAATGCAAATTTCCTTATCTAATCATGTGTAGTCAACAGATAATTTATAAGTCATAGGGAATGTATAGAGTTTTAAGTGTAATAGTTTAATTTGGGAGGGAATCGAAAAGTAAATCTTAAAAAGGGTAGACTGAGGGAGAGGTAGTGGGAGAAGAGTATAAAGTAACAATTTAAATTTCTCACCTTCCTTGGTAGCAAGTCAATATATACTTTTATAACTAATAAATGAAGGAAACAACTAAAAGCAAAGGTCTGCATCTATGCAAGGAGACAGTAATGAGCACTTAAAGCTACCTTTCCTTTTTCATGTTAAACTTTTGTGTATTGTTTAAATTGTTCTCACCTGTATTTTTCCTTTTGTAAGGAAACGGAAAACATTTATTAAATAAATAGTTTTATTCAGATACAAACTATATCTGATAAATACATATAGAGAATACAAATAAAATTTGGTGAATTATCCTCTTATAGTAGAATTTTATTGAAATGAATACACATAATATTGTACTTCAGTATACGGATATATGAAGTAGCATGGATTAGGGAATTCATTCCTATTGTTTGAGTAGCATTCTAAAGAGATGTTATAACAAAAAGGTAAGAGTAAAATATCTTAATATTTTAAATTATATTTGAAAACATTTTAAAAACAGTTTCTTACCGAGAGTCTGTGAACCATCAGGTTTATTTTCATTCATTTTACTAGAAAAAATAAGAAGATACAATATAACCATCTTAATTTTAAAAGTCTCAAATTATTTTAATTTAGTCCATGTACTGATTACAAATAAGCTGCATATCATTTCTTACTCTAATACATAATTTCCTCACCTTTTACACATCTAAGACCAATAGGGTGGTAAAGTCTGGAGACATTGTTAAAATGGGAGGGAATGTTTCTAGTTGTCAAAAGATTAAGATGACTACTTGCCTTGGAAAGGGAACAGAATTGCAAAACATCCTGCAGTGCAACAAACAAATCTATATAACCTAGTCTAGACTTTCTAATTTTCTTCTAAATATTCAAGGAGGTTAAAAAAAACCCCAACAAACCTATTTAAAATTACATTAACCTAGAACCTAAGCCCATTTTATGCATATAATCTTTTTTCTCTGCTAATTTAGGACAAAATGATTATTTCCATCATGCATATTTTTTTCTTCCTATTTTAGAACAAAATGAATATTTCCAAACTACAACTCCTATGTAAAGTCAAGAAAATTTGTATTTTATTTTTATTCATAATTATACCAAGATTTGTTCATTGTTTAGGGGGGAAAAAAATCACATCATCAATAGCAATGCCATTCATATCTGAGTAGCCTGCAGAACAATCAGGCTTTATTTGTGTCTATTACACTTTCAGGGGTTCTATACAGAGCAGCAAGCATCTGACTGCCACATCACAGTCTAGTACAGTGCTCAAGGAGACACTGATCTGCTTCTGTCTCCTCAGTCCCCACTAGTTAATAAATATAACTACTTATATTCATTACTGAAATATAATTTTTTCTAACTGTTCTCCAGTGTCAAAAGATCAAATGGAAGAAGAAAAACGTCTTAATATCAAAGTTTCACTTTACCAAGGATATATGAACAGCCTACTTGAACTGTGAATTGCAGGATGTCTTGTAATTCTGTCCCCTCGAACTGTTATGAGATTCAAGTATGATAATGTATGTATTAGCTCTTGGAATTTAAATGGAAAAGAAAAAACAATGATGCTAGTAGGTACACGTAATCTCATTTTATAATTTGCAAAACCAATGCTCAGAGAGGTTAAACACTTGTCCAAGGTCACAAAACTCTAACAGACTAGCCTATAACTGAGTGACTGACACTTTACATGAAAATAAAGAGCACGATAAAAAATACAGAATATTAATATCAAAGGAAGGACAAAACCCCCGCAAACTTACTATTAAATTTCATCAGTGTTTTCTTACAACTTAGAATTTATATTTCATGTTGATTGTAATAACTATTTTGTTTAAACACTGATTTATATATATATATATCACTTTTGTTCTTTCATAAAAAGTCACAGTCCAAGTCTTTTGAATCACTTTGACTCCAAGTTTTCAATATCTTCTGGTTCTTCCTTACAAAACCACCTGTGTCATCAAGATTGGTATTTCCTCAAAGAATCCATAAAACGACTAAAGAGTTTCACTTTAAGCAGGCTTTGCAATTAAGTAGGTCAAGTCTACCTTCCCCATTCCCTCCTCATAACCATTAATATAGGGTAGGGTTAAAGAAATATTCCTTTAGTGTTTCTTGGATTTTTTTTCTTTTTTAGAATCACTGATTATACTCTACAGGCATATGACAACACTTTTGATGTTTACACATATTCCTACAATGACTGCAGACTGCACTACTTGGCCAAAACTGATTAAAGATCACAGCCCGATTTTAACATGCTAAAAGGTATATGGGAGTGAGGGGGCTGTCCATATCAAACTGATGAATTTAATAAATAGGAAGGTAAAATGGCTTTTTTATTAGAACTTCTTTATAACTGAACTCTCATAATATTCAGCATATCATAAATCCACTCATACCTAAGAATTTATTGCAGAAAGTTCGAAAAATCACACGACAACAGTACTTCACCTAGAGTAAATATAAAAATTTTAACTCAAAAATGATGTTTAATCAATTTCCAACAACACAGATTTAGATATGGATCCAAACTTCTACATCTTACAATTCCTTACTCTCTCCCCTCTGTGGGTGAACTGCAACTATCTATTGTTTAATTTTATATTTATTGTAATTCAGAATAATGACTGAGGTATAGGCAACTTTAATAAAGACATTTAAAACTCTCTCAATGGCATTAATGCAAACATTAATTACATAATACTTTCTATTATGTTTAAATTTGTTAATTCTTCAGTTGCCCTGAGGGCAAAATCCCCATATCATTCAGCACAGTGCTAATAAATATTTCCTGAATGTGACTGGTAATTATGCTACAGATATTAATATGAATAGACAAAATTCTAGACGAAATTTTGTCTGTAAAGAAATCATAACATCTGCTATACCTCCCCTTCCCACTGCACGGACCCCAGGTATCTCTCGGTAGACAGTGTGATGAAGTCTGTCTAGATTTTGATAAGAAATGTATAGACAACTATGTTACTTTAAAAAAAATCTGAAGCTTCTTATTAATTACCAGCCTTAAAACTGTACTGAACAAGTGCTTTCTCATATTTACAAATATAAAAGAATAAAAGTCAACATCAATCTCCTAAGACACAAAAAGAATAACACAGGTGTATGTAGAGGACCATGCTGAAAAGCCTCCAAATATCATCGGCCACAAGCTTATAAGAAAGACCTCCAATGCTATTAAAACATGAATGGGAAAGGTTTTTCCTATGTATGCCAATATCTAACAAGCACTTTATATAGTTTTTCAAAGTGTATTAATACTATTCCACATAGACCAACAGAATAAGCCCAGAAACAGATCAACACTTTTCTAGTTATTTGATTTTCAACAAAAGTACTAAAGCAATTCAATGAGGAAGGGGAAGTCTTTTCAACGAATGGTGCTGGAAAAACTGAATATCCATATGGAAAACAAATAAACCTGGATTCATACTTCACACCATAAATAAAAGTTAATTTCAACTGGGTCACAAGTTTTAAAAGAAAAAGTCATACATTATACTTCATCAAAATTAAAAGCTTCCATTTATCAAAAGATGCCATTAATAAAGTGAATATGCATGCCAGTGTTGGAGAAAATATTTGTAAAAGATGTGTTCTGATGAAGACTTGTACTCAGAATACATAAACAAGTCATACAACTCAACAATGTAAAGCAAACAATAGACTAAAAAATGGGCAAAAGTCATAAACTGACACTTCACAAAGGAAGATACATGAATGGCCAATAAACACATGAAAAGATACCCAACATCATTGTTAATTAGGATGAAAAATTAATACTATTTTGATAGACCACTTCAACTCACAATAATGGCTAAGATTAAAAAGACTACCAACACCAAACATCGGAAAGGATATGAAGCAACCGGGAACTCTTATGAATGTAAAATGGAACAATAATTTCGAAAAGTTTTGGCAGTTTCTTAGAAGTTAAACATATACCCATGCAAAAACATACAGACAAGAAACTTTATACAAGAATGTTCATTAGCAGCCTTCTTCATGATACTCCAAAACTGGAAACCCACAAGTTCATTCATCAGCAAGAAAATGGATAAACAAATTGTAGTATAGTGATAAAATACAATATTACTTAGCAATGAAAAGTAAGAAGTGCTGCAAGATACAACAAAACAGATGACTTCTCTAATATGTTATGCTGAGTGAAAGAAACTACACGCTACTATTCGCATCCACATTATTCCATTCACATGAAGTTCTAGGACAGGCAAAACTAATGCATCAAGAAAAATATCAGAACAGTGCTTACCTCTCAGGTGGGGAAATGACTGGAAAGGGACATGAAGAAACATTCTGAAATATCCTACTTTTGCTAGGAGAATATAAGTAAGCAATTTCAATACAGAGAAGAAATTCTGATTTCCAACAGAGATACCAGAGCTATAGATAAGGGCTTTTGGAACACAACATTCCCCCTCTCTCTTAATTTTATAGTTTTCAAGGAAACAACACCCTGGGTCCACTTCATAGTCCAGACCTGATGTTGACTCCTTTACACACAGCCCTGGCTTTGCTATGAAAACATAACTTCATTTAAATTCCACCTAAGTATCACCCTTCTCCAAAATCCTAAAATAATCTATTTTACCCTTTGTTTGGTAAGAAACCCTTTGGTTCCTCTGGTCTGCAATTTCTCTCATTGCAATAAGTCAAAAAACCTAATTATCACACTACAGTTATTCCTGGTAGTTTTAGGATAGGAGAATGATGAGACAAATGTCACAAAACACAAATAATTGGTGAATGTGGATAAAGGGCATATAGGAGTTCCTTATACCCGTCTCTTTAACTTTTCTGTTTAAAATTATATCGAGAGGAAAAAAAATGGCATAGATGATAGAAGCTCTGTTCATCCCTCTGGTGACCAAATCAAAGTTGTGACAGAAACAAGAAGCAAGCAGCAAGGAAAAATCGTCTGAGATCTAGATGAACAAGCCATACAACCAGGGAGAAATCCAAGAAATCATCCTGCAACGGTAGTTAAAAAAATAATAATAAAATAAAATTATATCAAAATTAAAAGTTACTCCCAAATTGGATGTTCTAAAGACATTATTTAATTCATACTTTTAACCAATTCACATTAGCCTTCTTCCTAATCCCTAGCACTTGAAATAAAACTTTTGTTTCTAAATCTTGATTGATGATTTATTTTAAAAAGCCATTTCCAAAACAAACTTAAGCAAAAAAAAAAATAAAGACTACTCACATATTCTTAGTTGGTTTTATCATTTTTTCCCCTTCCAGTACATGAATTTTAAAATGTCCTAAATAAGAGGAGGAAAACAATGTTATGTAAGAATAAATCTCAGTAACAGTACAAGTCTTAACAGACTTGGTCTTAGAAATATCACTCTTCCCAGCTTCCCTGAGAAATCACTAACAATTTAATGATGTGTCCAGAAAGCCACTGTCAAGAGGTATTCTGAGTCTTTTCCACTGCTTACCTTCACTTCATCAGTTAGTGATATAGTGAGTTTCTCCTCCCTCTTAAAAAGGTGGAGCTTGATTTCCCTCTTCTTGATTGTGACTGTGCTTAGTAACTTGCTTCCATCAAAAAGCCCTGTAGAAATGACAATGGGTGACTATGTCATAAAAGGCATTGTGACTTCATTTTTGCCCTTTATCATGAGTCACCTGCTCTGGAGGAAGCCAGCTGCCATGTCGTAAGAATTTTCAAGATGCTTCTTAAAGAGGCTCACTTGGCAAAGTACTGAGGTATTTAACTACTGCCTTCTGAGTGAGCCATTTTAGAAGTGAATCCTTCAGCCTCATATAACTACAGCCTGGCTGACAGTCTGAGAGCAACCTCCTGGGAGACCCTAAGCCAGAACCACACAGCTAAGTGGCCCCCAAATTTCTGACCCATAGAAATTGTCAGATTATAAATGCTGTTTTAAGTCACCAAGTTTTGGGGTGATTTGCTACACAGTAATAGATAACTAATAGAACACAGTAACCCATATTCCTTCTCATTGTAGCTGGGTGGCTTTTCTAACAGTTTTTTGGTAAGAACTTTAGGATTTTCAATATGTAAGATCATGTCATCTACAAACAATTTTATTTCTTCCTTTCTGATTTGGATGCTTTCTTGTTTCTTTTTTTTTGTCCGAAAGCTCTGGCTAGGACTTCCAGTACTATGTTGAATAGGAGTGGTTAAAGTGGGCATCCCTGTCTTCTTCCTGATCTTACAGGAAAAGCTTTCAGCCTTTCACCACTGAGTATGATGTTAGCTGTGGGCTTGTCATGTATGGCTTTTATTATGTTGAGCTACGTTCCTTCCATACTCAATTTGTTAAGAATTTTTATCATGAAAGGATGTTGGTTTTTGTTAAATGCTTTTTTTCTGCATCTATTGAAATGAATGATTTTTATTTCTCATTCCATTAATGTGATGTGTCACGTTTATTGATCTGCATATGTTGAACCATCCTTGCATCAAGGGATGAATCCCACCTGACCGAGGTATATGATCTTTCTAATGTGCTGCTGAATTTGGTTTGCTAGTATTTTATTGAGTAGTGCCCATATCTGGTTTTGGTATCGGGGTAATGCTGGCCTCATGTAATGCACCTGGGAGTTGAAGCATACTTTTCAAAAGAAATACAATATGGTCAACAAGCAAATGAAAGAAGGAAAGCTGAAAAATTCACAAAATGTGGAGATTAAATAACAAAATCTTAAATAAGCAAAAGGTCAAAGAAGAAATCACAAGGGAAATTAGAAAATAATTAGAAACAAATGAAAACATAAAATACTAAAACCTATGACATACAGCAAAAAGTGATCAGAGGGAAATCTGTAGTATAAATGCAGATATTTTTTTAAAAAGATCCTAAAGGAACTAGAAAAAGAGCAAAAGGAGCCTAAGCTACTAGATAGAAGGAATTTATAAAAATTAGAGATTCATATAAAGGATAGAAATACAATAGAGAGAATAAATTGAGAGTTGATTCTTTAAAAAGATCAACAAAATTGACAAGCCTTTAGCTAGAATGACTGGGGGGGAAAAATCTCAAATTGCTAACATCAGAAACAACAGGGGACATTGCTACAGAACCTACAAAAATAAAAAGGGTTACATGAACAACTGCATACCAACATTAGATAATTAACTAGTTAAAGAAGTTAATCTTACAAAACAGACTCAAGCAAAAATAGAAAATTTCACACATCTATATCAAGACTTTGAATCAGTAATCAAGAATCTCTCATTAAAGAGGAGTTCAGGCCTAGGAAGCTTCACTGGAGAAATCTATTAAGTATTTAAAGAACTGACACCAATATTTCTCAAACCTGTCCAAAAAATAGAAGAGGAAACACTTTCTAATACAATCTATGAAGCCATTACCCTGATACCAAAGCTAAAGACATCACAGAAAACCTACAGAACGCTACCCATTATGAACGCAGATGCACGAATTCTCAACAAAATACCAGCAAAGTGGATCTTAGTTAAGAGAACTATATTCTAGGACAAAGTGGGATTTATCAAAGTAATGCTAGAGTGGTACAATATATGAAAAAAATCAATCAATGTAATATATCACATTAACGAAATAAAAGAAAAAAGTCACATGCTCATCTTAATGCAGAAAAAGTCATTTGACAAAATCTAACTCTTTCGCGATAAAAACACTCAATCTAGAAAAAGAAAGGAACTTCGTGGTATGACAAAGGGCATCTATGAAAAACCCACAGCTAATATACTCAGTGGTGAAAGACTGAAAGCTTTCCATACAAGATCTAGAGCAACAACGATGTCTACTCTCACCATTCTACTCAGCATTGTTCTAATTTTTCTAGCCAGAAAAATTAGGCAAGAAATGAAATAAAAGGCATTCAAATTGAAAGCAAGAATAGCTTTTTGCAGAACACATGATCTTATATGTAAAATATCCTAATAAATTTCCAAAAAATTGTTAGCGCTTCTGAGACGTTAGGAGCATGAGAGGACCTCCAAATCTCTCCCATTGAAGTTACAAGTTGGACAGCTATAATTCAACACAAGATTCCCTGCTCAACAGACAAACACATCTGAGAGATCCATGCATTGAGATATCAGAAGTTAGGTGTGATGGAGCAAACAGGAGACAGGACAAGAGAAGGAGAGAGAAGGGAGCTACAGATGCAGTCCAGCACTTGCCGCTGTCCCAGCGAATGCAACAGCAGTGAAGGTTTGGGGTGCAACCTGCACTGGGCAATTCAGAGGGGAAGAGAAAGCAATTGGGCCTGGATGGCTAGCACATATCGAGGCTGAGGCCAGGGTAGCAGCGTTCCACAACCTGCCATCACCAGAACAAAGAAATCTGCAGTCACTGGAACCCTAAACCCCATCCTCCTGTGGCTTGCCTGGCAGTAAAATTCTCACTTAGCAGAGGGCGAAAAGTCAGAAAAAAAATTTCCAGCCTAACTGGTCTGTATTCATTGTGGCTACATCCACAAGAAAGAAGAAAGCTGCAAACCCATAAACCTGGTTCCCCCTACCTACCCATCAAGGAGAGCTTGGTAGAAGCAGCTGGATCAACTCAGCGTGGCTCTGATGACAGCTTCTGGCTACAGAAAGATGGTGCTGGGAACAGAGGACAAGAGACTCATAGCCTGCCACTTCCCCCCACTGAAGTGGTACCCCAAAACTGAAGGTTAGAAAGGATATATCCACCTCCTCGGGGAATACGAAGGTGTTTTTCACGGCCAAGAGGCACCAACCCACAGAGTCCCTGAAAGCCCCAGTAGCGCAAGTAAGAGAAAATAAAAACTTGCGCTCAAATACCACTCACTAGAAAACAAAAGACTTCTATTTATCAATGTCCCAAACAGTGGAAAAGCAAATACTTAAAAAAAAAAAAAGAGATTTCATTCCCATGAATGGCCAGGCAGAGAAATAGTCAATCAACATGCAATGAATAACCATGATAACAAGAGAGCTCAGAAAGAAAATGAAAATTCTCCAGAAAACAAACCTAAGACATGTAAAATTATAATTTAAATCAGTGATCCCCAACCTTTGGTACCAGGGACTGGTGCTCCTATGAGAATCTAATGCCTGATGATCTAAGGTGGAGCTGAGGCAGTGATGCTGGCGCTGGGAAGTGGCTACAAATACAGATGAAGCTTCACTCGTTTGTCCGTCACTCACCTCCTGCTGTATGGCCTGGTTCCTAACAGGCCAAGGCTGGTACCAGTCCACAGCCCAGGAGTTGCAGACCCCTGATTTAAATGACAAAGAATTCAAGATTGCAGTTCTGAAAAAACACAATAAGGTACAAGAAAACTCAGAGAACCAATTCAACGAGCTCAGAAATAAAATTTATAGTTTCAACCTCTTTGCACTACTTCACTAAAGAAATTGATATTATAAAAAAGAACCATACAGAAATCCTGGAGCTGAAGAACTCTAAATAAATGAGATGAAGAATGAACTACTGAGCTTAGGAAACAGAGCAGACCTGATAGAGAAAAGAATTAGTGACAGAGAAGATAGAAATCTAGAAATGACTCAGGTGAAGAAGAGAGAATTGAGAGTGAAAGAAAGAAAAGAAAGAAAAAGAAAAGCTCTACAAGAACTACCTGACTCCATTAGAAAGAGCAATACTAAGAATAATGCGTATACCTGAAAGAGATCAGCAGGATAAGGGAACAGAGAATCTATTTAAACAAATAATTGGTGAGAACTTCCCAAACTTATGGAAAAAAATGGATGCTTGAATCCAAGAAGCTAATATAGCACTTAATTATCTGAATCCAAAAAGACTTTCTCCAAGACACATTATATTAAAATTGTCAAAAATTAATGGAAAAAAAAAAAAAGACTCAAAGTAGCCAGGGAAAAGAAGAGGTAATTTATAAAGGAAGCCCCATTAAATTATCAGCAGATTTTCAGCAGAAACCCTATAAGCTAGGAGAGAGTGAAATCAAATATTCGAATTATTGAGAGAGAAATCGCCAGCCAAGAATACATCCAGCACACTTATCCTTTAGATATGTAGGAGAAATAAAGGCTTTTCCAGACATACAGAAACTGAAGGAATTTACCACAAGACTTTCATTAACAGAAATGCTACAAGCTACTCTTCTACCTGAAACAAAACAACAAAAGTATACAAAACTATAAGATGACTAACAGACAAGCAGAAGCAGGGAAATGAAACTCTTGTTTAGAATAGGGTCTTAAAAAAGGTTAAATAAGATAAAAACCTTTAAAAAGAAAATAGAAGACAATAGCTACTGCAGTTTGGAAATGAATGCACAGCATAAAAATGGATATTTGTGACAACACAAACAGAAAAGGGGAGGGGAGAAAGGACTAATTTTGCACAGGTGAATAGAGATAAGGTGTAATCAGAAGAAAAAGGACTATTACATATAAGAAACTTTTTTCATAAACAGTAACCACAAAACAAAAATCTAGAACTGAAATACGTAACATAAAAAGAGAAAACAGAGAGACAAAAATCATAGAATACCACCAAACTAAAATAACAGAAACACAAGGAAGAGGAAACAATAGAGACACAGAGCTACAGGAAAACAAGATAAAATGGCTATAAGAAATTCTCATAT